ATTTCTAGGTATATGGAGTCAGACACAAGAATCTTAAAATCGGTTCTTATTGCCACAACTCAAAGTCTAAATTAGAATAAAAGTACTTATAATCATCACACAATAAGCAAACCAGACACAAAAAGCTCAAAAACAGTTCTTATTGCCTCAACTTAGAGTTGCAATACTCAAAAATAAATCTTATTACAACGAATCAAAGTCACAATTACAATAAAAGTACTATCATGAAATTACAAGTTCAAAAGTCGATTACATAACATAACATCACGCCTTTTATCCCGGAAGGGGTAGGCAGAGGTGCACACAGAAGTAACATCCGCTTTTCACTATTCAAGTTATGAGTCCCATGTAATAGGGGGTGAGCCTATTGCCATAAACCGGGCACATTTCCAGGCACCGTGCTACTTACTGAGATTTTTTTTTAAAACCCAGTAATACTTTGCCCGACCCAGGAATCGAACCCGAGACTCCTTGCCCGGCAGTCGCACTGCGGACCACTCGGCCAACGAGGCAGTCTTCAATAAGTCGATTACACATTGTACAAAAAATTCCAAAGTATATGTTACCATTTTTTGTTGTTATCATATTTTGGAAAATAACCAGTAATCTTCTTTTGTACGTAGTGAACAATTATCTGCTAGTACTTGTATGTATAAGTGCCGCAATGTGTTGTTATTGAGAGTGACAAGGTCAAGATAGAACCGAAGTATACGACAGTAAAGGATAGAACACACTGGACAATATTTATTTATTTCATCATTAATAGCCTATCCCAGCCTTTTCTCGTCCACTGCTGGACATAGCGCACCCTGAGAACGAAAGGGACTCAACTCAAAATTGCCAATTTTTGGGAATAGGCGAAAATGTGTCCGTCGTATTAAGCATTTTCTGTTCATTTTACAATAACACTAAAACATGGTAACAAAAGTTATGAATTTCTTTTGAAATATATTTGTCTTGTCATGACAACTCACGGTGCAACACTCATTTCGTCACTTTGATTCAGGCGCGGGGTAGGGAACGGTTGAGGGACAAAGAGACCGAAATATATCTCTACCCTTTTCTTACCTTTATTGGCCAGTTTTCGAATTTATGTATGATGGAGTATACTTTTTTGAGTCATTCTGTATACTTAACTCATTTAACCAAAATTTTGAAATCGGTCACTTTCGTTCTCAGCGTGCGATAGGCTTCTCCAATGGCACGCCACTGAGCACAATATTCAGCTCTACGCATCGAACCACTACCAGCCACTTTACGTACATCGGCACCGACTTCTATCTAACCTATCAGTGGGTGGGTAACCTATCAGTACTAATAATAGTTATTTTTCCTTTTTGTTTTTTATTAGTTTTTCTCTTTTTTTATGTTGTTTTTTTAAACGCAGTTTTTATTTTAACATTTTTAGTGTAAAGCTACGTAGATCCGTTTTGCCTCCCATAATATGCATACGTGAAAAGTCCTCATCAATACAAATTTATCAAGCCCATATACAAGTTAGTTACTGTATACCGTTGGAGTTCTCTTAACAATTACACTTCTTCATCATCAGACCCTTAATGGCAGTCCCACTTCATCTTGGTGTAAAGTTCTCATTAATACAAATCGTAGTGTTTAAAAATACTAATTGAAAAATATAATAGACGCATTACTCGGCCCTACAAGTTTCGGAAGTTCCCCTTGGTTTCCCTAGGATTCCATCATCAGATCTTGACGTCATGGGAATGAGACCATCTCGGGAGTATACCCTTTCATACAAAACAAGAATTTTGGAAATCGATTTACAAATGGCGGATAAATCGGCGAACAAATAAAAAAAGACAATCAGCCGAACATAATAAGTACCTACACGTTTTTTGAAGTCGGTAAAAATAAATGAGCCTGACATTATACTGTGTTTATAAGATGTGTTGATACTGTATTATTAGTTTATGAAATAATAATAAAAGTTTAAAATAACACTCAAGTATGTACAAATTTAATCTACATAATAATTATAATATAAGTAATTGTACAAATAAAAAGGAACTGTCTGTTTTTTGCACGCACACAACTGCTGAACGGCTGCATCAAACTGGATATATCTGGTTTTGTTGTCATGTTCATAATACCCAAGATAAGATTTTTATGACAGTATTTAGGAATCTATTCTTTGGAAAGGACAAATAACGAATAACTTACATCCATAAGTATGTATAAACTATAATTAAAATCACACTTTTCAAAATAAAAATATTTGCTATTGGAGAACGCCTATTATTTGAATTGGCCCACCAGTAAATCAAAATGATCGCACGGAGCTAGTGAATGCAAAGAGATTCCAACCGACCGATCTGGTCGTTCAGGATTGAAATAGATCTCCCCCTATACCTTATTATGGTTGATATGGTGGGTATCATAAAGATCAAAAACAAATCTACTAAACCCACCCTGACAGTCAATTAAAATTGGCTCCTGAGGAAGATCTCAAGCACATTACTTGCATAAAGACTTTGTCAAAAAGAATGTCGAATGTCAATTTCTTCCTACTACATAACAAAATATAAAAAATCTCGCTATAAAACACACCATTAATATCTTAGGAGCACTATATACATTTTTATTGATTTTTTATAGTAAGTAAACGAGCAGACGGATCACCTGATGGTAAGCAATCGGCGTCGGCCATGGACACTCGGAACACCAGAGGTGTTAGAAGTGCGTTACCGGCGTTTTGGGGACTACGAATTTGAGGATTGTTGGAGATTCAGGGATTGGGGGAAAAGGGGGGAGGGGGTTTTCTGTGATGCCGTGGTATCACTCCTGTCGAGCCGGCCTATTCCTGCCGAGGCATGGCTCTCCCACACATTTTATTTCATCACAATATGACATTTTAATGTATTTATTGCCACTATCAACTGCACAAGTTTGATACTACAATGTTAAAACTTTATTGTCACTTAAATCGTTCATTATAATCATCAAAATTACTTAATCATACCAAGACAGTCATATCGTTACGATACGCGTAAAGTCATGTTCATAGTGAAGTCTGTTTAATCGAGTACCTAACTAAGTACTGAATATTTTAACATAAGAACCACAAAGTTCGATTAGTATAAATAAAATAATTTTGTACATTTTTTATATTTACGAAGTTTTATAACACAGACAGAGACACAGACCCTTATAACACAGTCACTATCAACAGTCCAGAGAGTCAACTCTATATAAAATGCTTTGAAATGGTTATAGTTTTCATTCAATACTTTTTTTATATTTTCGTTAATATGACAAACATAAAGTAAAATCTAAAAAGCAGAAAATTACTTATAGTATATTAGTCATAGGTTTTTTTTAAGGGTGGAAAATCATCGAATGACTGCTCCCGCCTGGGTGAGGCGGGAGGGAGTGTCAGACTCTTACTGACTAAAAACCACCCCGTTCCTTCTCCTGCACGTCGAGCCGGAGCCCCGGTTACCCGTTAGGTTCTTCGCGACATTAGTCATAGGTTACCCTCTCACTGATTATACCTCTATAGAAGGCGGTGCCTCTTGTGGGAAAAAGTTGAAAAAGTAGTTGCTCCTTTCGAACAAAAAAAGAATTATTAAAATCGGTTCATAAATAACGGAGACATAGGCGAACAAACATAAAAAAACATAATATATACGGTCAAATTGAGAACCTCTTCCTTTTTTGAAGTCGATTCAAAGATGTCTTTAAACTTCAAAGACTGGAGTCGCGGAAAACCTAACAGGTAACCGGGGCTCCGGCTCGACGTGCAGGAGAAGGAACGGGGTGGTTTTTAGTCAGTACGAGTCTGACACTCACTCCCGCCTCACCCAGGCGGGAGCAGTCATTCGATGATTTTCCCCCTTAAAAAAAACTTCAAAGACATTTATCTATTTTCTGCTAAACAGTGAGAATGTTCTCTTAGAAGTTTCTACATTTAGTTCCCTTTATCTAGGTCTAGGTAAGTGAGTTGTAAGGAAGCAATGGCAAGTCAACAGTCGTACACTCGCTGCTAATTTATTTACACGCGTATTTTGTTGAAGTTTATATACATACAAACAGTTATAAGTACGTGGAAATCAAAGCCACGACAATTTTACATAGGTAGCTGTAATTATCAACTCTATAATGTAAGTATTATAATTCATTTTTAATCGAATTCAAAAAAGGATATTCTCTGTTATACTATATGTATGTTTGTGTGCACTTATCTCGAGTTTTGCTGAACTGATTTTGATAGGTTTTCAGAAAAGTGTCTGCTACATTTAGGATAAAGTTTTAGTATATTAATTAATTAACCAACTTCAAAAAAGACGAGATTGAAGTTGGATTTTTTAACGTCTTCATAAAAGAATTATTAGATTCACTTATTACAGGGTTAATGCGAATGTGCATTCTACGTGCACCTCTCTAAAAATTAGCTCATGGTTTCATTAAAAGTGAGACATATTCAATACATTTGATATTTACCTATGTTTGAGCAAAATAAATGAATTATGTTCAAACACCAACTTCAACCCTCTTTTTTCTGAGGTCGATATTATATTAATGTAATAAAACCTTCTCTTAAGTGTAATGACTGCACGGTTGGTGCGGTGGCTGGGCAACCGGCTGCCGTGCAACGTGTCGCGGGTTCGATTTCCGCACGGAACAACACTTTGTGTGATCCACAAATTGTTGTTTCGGGTCTGGGTGTCATTGTGTATGTGAACTTGTATGTTTGTAAACGCACCCACGACACAGGAGGAAATTTAATAAGGAATTTTTTTTGTAAAAAAAAAACACTTTTCTGAAAACCGCATTAAATTCGGTTCAGCCAATCGCGCTATAATCAAACAACAAACAAACAAACATTCATACATACATATACACAGGTTACACTCAGAACATCCTATGTTTTTTATGAAGTCGGTAAAAAAAAATCAAATGTCCGTCAGTGAAAACTAGCCCTAACAATACGTAAATATACATACTTTAAACAGTGCATTCATTGTATAATCTATGCAGTTAGCTCTCAGGCGTGTCTAGATCATAACGTCTATATAGTGCATCTAGATAGTTTAACATTATTTATTGAATTAAATACTTTTTAGTCAATTTTGAATAGTAAGGTGAGTTAAACAGTTTTATTTTAATTAAAAAATTATGATCAGTGTTTAATTTTCGACTCTCCAGGTGATACTGTATTTTTTTCTAATGCATAGATGTTTTATCCTGACAATAAACGTAATCGGCAAAAATAATTATTTATGTTATTGAGTGCAGTCGTTCGCGAGTTATACGCATACAGATATACATTTTAAAAACATATTGCGTTTGTTTTTGTTTACAATTATGCAAATTATTTTGTAATCTTTAACATACTATTATAATTATGTACCTATTTGCATGAAACCAATATACTTAGGTAGTTGTATGACTCGGTTCTTATTATGGGTATCTTATACACTACATATTTAAGTAATAACTACCTAATATTAATATTATAAATATAAATAACTAAAGACTAAAAGAAAAGGATTGTTATATTATAATTTAAATTTTTACATTATACTAACATGATGTAATTAGTAGTAATGATACCTGTTTTTATTACTTCTATTCGATATAGATAATGTCAGTTACTAAACATAATAATAAGAAAAATAATGCATTTTTATCTATGAATACATAACATAGCGCCTCTTAATGTCTGATGGGGCAGACAGAGGTCCATATTGATACTATTGATAGCACATACTCTCCGCCTGTCATAGGTTACTATAATTGAGAGCAAGGTTATTGTCACACGCCGGGACACAATTGCTCCTGTTAAGAGTAACCAAATAGAAAAGTAAACACATATAAAACAGTACTGAAGGACGATATATTAAGTGTGGGAGAGCCATGCTTCGGCACGAATGGGCCGGCTCGACCGGAGTGATACCACGGCCTCACAGAAAACCTACGTAAACCAACGCTTGCGTTGTGTTTCGTCGCGTGAGTGAGGTTACCGGAGGCCCCATTAACCTCCCCTTCCCCAATTTTCTCAATTCCTGAATCCCCAACGATCCTCAAACTCCTAGTCCCCAAAAGGCCGGTAACGCACTTGTAACGTCTCTGGTGTTCCAGGTGTCCATGGGCGACGCCGATTGCTTACCATCAGGTGATCCGTCTCCTCGTTTACGGCTTATGCCATAAAAAAACATACTATAAAAATAGATTAACTATGAAGTGGACGTATACAGAACACAACTAGAACTAACGATAGTTGATCCTGTTGTGAGACATTTTAGGCACAAATCACTACATAGTATAAAACAAAGTCGCTATCCGCCTTCTGTCTGTCCCTATGTATGCTTAGATCTTTAAAACTACGCAACGGATTTTGATGCGGTTTTTTTAATAGATAGACTGATTCTTAAGGAAGTTTTATATGTGTAATACATGCATATTGAACCCGTGTGAAGTCGGGGCGGGTCGATAATTAATAATAAATCTGTAGACTTTGTTTGTTTGAACGCGCTAATCTCCTTTATAGTTTTTCCCTAGTATTATTTTTTGTTTACCCGTTTAGCGATAAGCGTCTAGGACAAAAGGTTAAAATCTAATACTAATTATAATTCAAGTCCAGTCTAGACTAATAGATTAAGCTACTTTTTTACATAAACGTGTTAGTTTCTAAGGAAAACTGCAGGCTAATAATATGACTGCATGATAAGTAAAAAAGAGCAACAAGAACTACAATACGTTTGACTGCACGGTTGGTGCGGTGGCTAGGCAACCGGCTGCCGTGCAACGTGTCGTGGGTTCGATTCCCGCACGGAACAACACTTTGTGTGATCCACAAATTGTTGTTTCGGGTCTGGGTGTCATGTGTATGTGAACTTGTATGTTTGTAAACGCACTCACGACACAGGAGATAATCCTACTGTGGGGCAACGGTATTAAAAAAAAAAAAAGAAAGTTTTCAAACGTGAACTGCCTTGATTATCAAGTCTCCCAGTTACTAAGTGAGGTAACTCTGCAAATGTATCTATTACAAGTTCATTTTTTTAACCGACTTTGAAACAAAATGAAGGAGGTTCACAGTTTGACTTGTATGTAGGTATGTTTTTACTTAGGAGAAGGATTTAATATTATAAGTACTTATTAATTAACCGATATCAAAAAAAGAAGGGATTGAAATCAGTTTTTTAAACGTAGTTTGTATATAATCGAATTATTTAATTCTCAGTACAGTACCTAATAAATTAGAGTCGGGAATTCTGCCGTTAACTGCCAGTTCCTATAAACTAATCACAATCCTAAACCTGTGGGATTAAGATTGATTTTCACTGAAATTGGCAGTAGGTAAATCATGCGACTAACAACTTACCTAGCGAAAAGAAGATGTTACGTTTTTTAATAGTTATATGCACCATCACCTGACCATTTCCTAACCCTTAGGAGAATAATAAGGATGTCATAATAAAGCTTATTAAATTTTAACGAATTCTGTCTACAGAATGGTGGTGGGCTTCAAAAGAGTATGGGACTCCAGCTGTCCCCTAATATGGGACCAGTGGGTGGATGACAACGGGACCACATGGATCATCCAAGACTTGCCCCCAGAAGACGATGAGAAGGCCATCAAGATACTGGTGGAAAACCTCTGCCCTGATGAAACTCTGTGCAGTTTGAGCAGTAAGTTAATTATTAAGTATTTTACGTTGCTTACTAGGTCTGTCGAATAGAATAAAATCAAAATATTGGACCAATGACATAGGCAAGGACGTTAGGGATGTGATCGGCGATGGCGATCTCTCGGGTCCGGCTCTGATTCAGACCATGGTACGGAGCGACGGGGACTGGGATGCCGTCTCCTCCTTCTGCGAAACAATCATGCTAGCTAAGGAGGAGCCAGGGCGCGTGAGGAAACGAAACTACTCACGTCCTAGCCGACGCGAGAGACACTCCAGGCGTCGGGGATCGCGAGATGATATCCGGCTACCGTAAGCACGGGCCTGCGGACGACGCATCGCGTTCCGCGCGCGCCTCAAGAAGCCATCAGACCACCATAAATTGGGCTCAATGGGGCTTATGCCCTGGTGATGTAGTGGTGGCCCGGAGGTTTAAGACGCCCGCTTCTCATGCATGAGAATGCAGGTTCGAAACCTACCAACGGCAAGTGCCAATGTGACTTTTTCAGAGTTATCTAATGTACTTTCTAAGATTATCTAGACACCACTGACAAACGGTGAAGGAAAACATCGTGAGGAAACCTGGGCTTACAATTTCTAATTATAAGTTTGTAATCGGCAACCCGCATTGAGCAAGCGTGGTGATTAATGCTCAAACCTTCTCCGTGTGAGAAGAGACTTTGCTCAGCAATGGGCATCTATAGGCTGTTGTTTATTTATAACCAGTATGTTGATGATGAGGGCTGAAGCCGACACGGAGCCGCGGAGGGCTTAACAGGTTGCCGGGGCTCCGGTTCGAAGTGCAGGAGTAGGAACGGGGTGGTTTTTAGTCAATAAGAGTCTGAAACTCCCTCTCGCTTCACCCACGTGATTGCGAATGATTTTCTCGCTTAAAAAAAGTAAGGACGTTGAAAAAAGGCAAACGTAATGCCACTTAGAAATGGTTGAAGCACCAAAATGTCAGTATGTTATTTATGTGTGCGTGTGTAATGGGTTACCACGTTACCAGACTTAAAAAAATTACGGATGTCCTTCGTGTCAATTTATTATTTAGGTACTATAAATTTTGCATGATTATTACTAACAAGTTCCGTCAACATATAGGCTACATATTATCACGCTATCATCTACAAGGGAGGAGCCCTATACCCTAGTATCTAGTATAAATGTTTTCAGAATTAATTCAGTGCCTATACTGAATTAATTCTGAAAACATTCGTTACTGTAGAATATCCCTTGATAAAGACTAATTCGAAAGTCTAAATTCTGCTCGAAGTCTTTATTCTACGCAGACGAAGTCACGGGCAACAGCTAGTATGCAATATAAATAGAACCCGTAACACATAGACACTATACCTACATATGGTGTCGCGGAGAACCTAACGGGTAACCGGGGCTCCGGCTCGACGTGCAGGAGAAGGAACGGAGTGGTTTTTAGTCAGTAAGAGTCTGACACTCCCTTGCGCCTCATCCAGGCGGGAGCAGCCATTCGATGATTTTCCCCCCTTAAAAAAAAATTCCTACATATGGTAGGTAGTACAATCATTTTATCTGCATACCGTGTCACAAATACACTCATATAAAAGCATTACCTAATCAGTATGAATACTTTATTTTTAATGAAAACAAAAAGTTACTATAAATAGACGATTACAAGATAATAATATCTTGTTTACGTTAATCTTATCTTATCTATACAGATAAATAAAATTGAAGTGTCTGTTTGTTATATTAAAATAACTGCTTTTTACTACATGCATGTTAATATACATACGATACACATACATCGTATGTTATTTTGGTATAAAAATAACATTTTTTTTAATTTTTGTCTGTCTGTTTGTTTGTTTGTACTGGCTAATCTCTGGAATGGCTGGATAGATTTTGACGGGACTTTTATTGGCAGTTAGTTTATGTACTAAGAATTAACATAGGCTATTTTTATTTTAGCAAATTTAAAACAAAAAAAAAGTTATGTCCTAAAATTCATTAACAAAACAATCGAGTAGGTATGTAATTATATAGAAATCAATTACTGTACCACAGGGAGTTATAGTAAATCCTTATTAATATATACATCGGAAAGTGAGTTTGTTTGTTTGTTTGTTTGTTTGTTCCGCTTTCACGCCGTAACTACTAAACCGATTGCTTTGAATTTTTGCAGATGTACAGTTAGAAGTCTGGATTAAATAATAGGGTAATTTTTATCCCGGAAAAATTTGATATTCTCGAGAGAAAACGAAATTTTATTTATTTTATTTTATTTATTTAAGTTTTATACAATTGCATAAGGAAGACTGGAAATTATTGGTATAGATAGCGCTGTGTGTATTGGTATATGTCATATAGGCTACTTTTTATCGTTTTGTGACGCGAGCGAAGCCGCGGGTAAAAGCTGGTAATTATCATATAGAAATCGCCATAATTATACTTCCGTATCTGTTTTTGTGACGAACACCATGAACCTCATCTTGTAGCCAGGGCCGCGCCGACCCCCGGCAGCGCCTGTGTGCGGAATCGATGGAGCGCCTCTTTTTTACCGACTTCAAAAAAGCAGGAGGTGCTATGTTCGGCTGATTGTTTTTTTTTGTTTGTTCGCACATTACTCCGCCATTTGTACACCGATTTCCAAAAATCTTATTTTGTTTAAAAGGGTATACTCTCGAAATGGGACCATTTCCATGAGCTCAGAATCTGATGATGGGATCCTAGGGAAACCGAGAGGAACCGAGGAGAACTTTCGAAAATTTTAGGAGCGAGTAATGAGTCTATTATGTTTTTCAATTACGATTTTTATACACTACAATTTGATAACGGTCTGGAGTCGACCTGATGATGGAGCCGACAGACAATCGAGAGAACTCCTCAGCTGTTTTTATTAACTACCCTATGCATGGGCTTGATTAATTTAGTACAAACACAAGGTAGTTAATATAAACCGCTGAGGAGTTCCCTCGACTGTCTGTCGGCTCCATCATCAGGTCAAATCCAGACCCTTATCAAATTGTAGTGTTTAAAAATTGTAATTGAAAAACAAAATAGACGCAGTACTCGCCCATAGAATTTTCAAAAGTTCCCCTTGGTTTCCCTTGGGTCCCATCATCAGATCCTGACCTCATGGAAATGGGACCATCTCGGGAGTATACCCTTTCAAACAAAACAAGAATTTTCGAAATCGGTTCACATATGGCGGAGTACTGAAAAAAAAAAACAATCAGCCGAACATACGTACCTCCTCCTTTTTTTAAAGTCAGTAAAAAGTTCAATGCGCACCTTACACACACTTTCAATCAAATGATTGTTCAATTGTTTTGTTTTAGCTTGACTCTCTCGTTCGTTAAAATCGGGGAATCCCTGTGACCCTACTCCTATAGCCTCACGCATCGCATCGGGTTGCGTTCACAAACTCACTCATACTTACTCATACAAAGTCGGCGCCTTTATGATTCAATATAACTAGTAGGTACCTACTTTATCTGTGGTTCAAAAGATCTGCCGCCGTTTTAACGTTGATCTTGTAACTCGTAAGTGTAAAATGAAACCATAAACGTGATTAATAATAAACATTAATATTGAGAGACTTGTTTAATAAGCGTAATATAAGTTTTGTTGTATACAAGGCCTATGTTGCGCCTATTGTACCTACTTACTTATCGATACTCTACTACCAAAAATATAATAATTAAGGTAACAAAAATAATTCAAGTAGAGGTGGTGGCGCGACACGGCGCCCCTATTGTCTTGGCGCCTGTGTGCGCCGCACACTTCGCACACAGGGGCGGCGCGGCCCTGCTTGTAGCTACCACATCGGTTACTTACTAAATGCTACTACTATCAATCTCTTATGTCGATTCGGTATGACTTAGGTATTATAGACTTTTTAGTGTCAAAATTTTGAATTAACTCGTCGAGTACCGTCATTATAGACACAATTATAGAACAATAGGTTGAGGTCACCAGTGGCCGCTTGGTGTTTGACAGTTTAAAGTCAAAATTATACACTTTTTTTGTATTGTAACTTTCGTGAGACATACTAAATAAATTATTATGTTTTCGGCTTACTCACGTAGCAGCATTTCGCGACAGTCGCCGCGTCGCGGGTCGCGAAATGCTGCTCATGAATATGAGCCTCTAGCATGGCTTGAAACTAGTCGAGTTCCTCGTCAAATTACTACGTGAGTAAGCTGAAAACATAATAATTTAAAATGATACACCTTTAATTTAATGAATAGTCTAACTTTAGTTTAATGAGCTGCCAGTACAGAATATTACAGACTTAAGTATGTTTTGCTTAATAGGTATTTCCTGAAGAATAGAATTATAATGAGTTTTTGTCAATACATACGCTTGCTTAGGAAAATGAGACAAATAATAATTTATGTAAAGAAAAGTTTGCTTTAAAATAGATAATAATATATTTCTGCCCATTCATTTTCAGGATAATAGTCTGACATTATTTTAGTAATTAGGTACAGATTTCGGTTGTTTTGTTTCTTATGTCAGTGACCATGAGTTTGTAAGTAAAATATTAACTCACAATAGCACTTTACCTAACTAAAGGTGATATAGATATGTTTGTTATTGTCATGAAACTGATCATTTATGTATTAAAAAACTGTGAGAGCCTAAAATAATACAATGTATCTATTGGAATAGAATATAATCGTGTGAGTGAGGTTACCGGAGGCCCAATTACCCCCCTCCCTAGTCCCCGTCTCCCGAATCCTCCACAATCCTCAAATTCCCAGTTCCCAAAAGGCCGGTAACGCACTTGTAACGCCTTGGTGTTTCGAGTGTCCATGGGCGGCGCCGATTGTTTACCATCAGGTGATCTGTCTGCTCGTTAACCGGCTTATGCTATAAAAAAATTACATAGTTCTTAGTTCTTTTTGTGTGGGGAAAATCATTAAATGAGTCTTACCACCCTGGGTGAGGCGAGAGGGGGTGTCAGACTCTTTCTGACAAAAAACCGTCCCATTCCTACTTCTACTTTAAATCTGAACCAGGGAAACTTGCACCTTTCCGCAGCCCCACTCGGAAGATTTTATTATGGTAAGAAATCGGCGTCGCCCATGGATATTTGAAACACCAGAGGCGTTTGCGTTACCGGCCTTTTTAGGATTAGGAATTTGAGGATTGTTGGATATTCAGGGGTTGGAGAGATTTGGGAAAGGGGGAGAGAGTAATTGGCCATCCGGTAACCTCACTCGACGAAACACAACGCTGTGGTTGTTTCACGTCGGTTTTAGGTGAGGCCGTAGTATCACTCTTGTTCGTTGGTGCCTGTCCATTCGTGCCGAAGTATGGCTTTCCCACACTTGCCTAGATGTCTTGATTCTATTAATAACCACTTAATTATTTTTATAGAAATCTCGGAGGACCCAGAATCAATAAAAAGTATAAGCAACTTTTGGCGAGGATACCTAGCACAACGCATGTCACTAGCCTGTTATGAAGTGAAGGATGGTCGAAAGAAATTAGTCGCGTTAAACGTATGTCTCGTTCAGACACAGGGTGAAGAAGTTAATGATATTGTAAGTATATCGCTCCTTTATATACAGTAATATCCATGCATACTCCAGTCGAGCCGGCCCATTCATGCCGAAGCTTGGCTCTTCCACAAATCCAAACCCAAATCATTTATTTGCAATTACTTTCACACTATTTATTATTGTTACCGCATTATTTACCCATATAACCCGTTTCACTTTTATTAAAGAACAATGACGTTGTATCAAATGCAAGAAACCTTCTATTTGATGTTTTATTCTTTTAGGTAGAAGGAGCAAGCTTCAAGAACTTGTATGGAGCTCTAAAAGTAATTGATGATAAAATAGATGCCTTCAAATCCCTGGGCATGAGCCAGTTACTCTATGCCCTAGGACTCGTGGTGTGCAGAGAATACAGGGGCTCAAAACTCGGTGCCAGGATATTGGCTGCGAGGTAACTTATGGTCTCATAGACGTGATTCACTATCACTTATGATAAATATCCTATTTTTAACGGTATACCATATTCACTTCGTTGCGGGAACCAAGACATGTCATGACTCATGTCCCTGGGACGCGTCGGACTTCAGTGTTCCGGTGTTTCATGGTTGTATCTACTGTAGATCCTGGCTTACAGGAGTTGCAGCGATAAAAAAAAGTATACCATATTACTATGACATTAAGGTTCATTTATGTATATGTTCGATTCCCGGATTCGGCAAAGTATTACTGGGTTTTTAAATAATTCTCAATCGTAGCACGGAATCTGAAATTGTGCCCAGTATATGGCAATAGGCTCACCACTATTACATGGTACTCATAACATAAATAGCTAAAAGTAAGTGTTACATTGTATAATGGCATTAAGTGCCATTATGTGGACCTCTGCCGACCCCGTCGAGGATAAAAGGCGTGATGTTATGGAAGTATGTATTATACGTAGCTACAGGCAGTAGGTACCACAGATACATTGAAGAAGGACTAGGAGATATGGTGTGGAGTCAAAAACGTACGCAAAGCCGGTGAAGCCACAACTGCCCCTCCATAAAACTAATATTACACACACAGTTCTGACAAAACAATACTACAAATAAGTGCACACACGCGGCATCGATAACTCAGTAATTCAAATATAAGCCTTATTCTTTAAACGACAGCGCACATTCTCCTATGATCATTCTCCTATAATCCTTTTTTAATATTTCTGTGGGCAGTACATACGTAATGATACGTTTACATACAGTATGTAGTCAAAGTTTTTATGCTAGCTAAGTATAGACAATTAGATAAAATTATAGCTTGATTGCTTAGCAGTATGTAATTACCGGTGATTCAACTTTGATAGTGTTTATAATGTAATCTATCATACTTACCTACATGTGTTATTAAATAAATTAATATTCTGTCGGTTCCCCGAATAAATAGAGTGCGTGTTAGTTTATTTAGGTACAATAGGTTAATTTGATTTGGTTCAGACTGTAATATAAAGAACATAACAAACAAAACTTATGTGTTATGTGGCAGAGGCAGAGATGCACATTATCCCACTGTACAATGTAACACCCACTTTTCACTATTTATGTTATGAGTCCCATGTAATAGGGGGTGAGCCTATTGCCATATACCGGGCACAATTCCAGACTACGTGCTACTACTGTAAATTTTTAAAAACCCCAGTAATACTTTGCTCGACCCGGGAATCGAATATAAAGAAATCTATATATATATATATATAAATGAAAATGAATTTCCGTTCGTTAGTCTCACTAAAACTCGAGAACGGCTGAATCGAATTGGCTAATGTCGGTCTTGAAATGGTTGGAAAAAGTACAGGGAAGGTTTAAAAGGTGAAAAAAAAAATTTGGCGGTACTGGTCACTACATAGTATAAAACAAAGTCGTTATCCGCCGTCTGTCTGTCCCTATGTATGCTTGGATCTTTGAAACTACGCAACGGATTTTGATGCGGTTTCTTTTAATAGATGAGTAATTCTTAAGGAAGTTTTTTATTTATTATACATGCATATTGCACTCGTGCGAAGCCGGGGCGGGTAGTAAAATAAAATAGTAAAATATATAAAACAAGTTGATATACCTACAAATGACTCCACCTCCCCTATTAGGAGAGAAATCCGAGTTTACAGGATGCCCAGTTCTCCCTTCCTCATCATCATCATCATCAACAGCCTATTAATGCCCACTGCTGAGCAAAGCCTCTCACACAGATAAGATTTGAGCATTAATCACCACGCTTGCTCAATGCGGGTTTGCAACCTTCCCCAACTTCCTTAATTCTCAAATCCCCCCAAAAGGCCGACAACGCACTCGTAAGTCCACATTGGTGTTTCGGGTGTCCATGGCCGGCGCCGATTGCTTACCATCAGATGATCCGTCTGCTCGTTTGCCAGTCTACATAGTAAAAAAGAGGCCAGACGTGATGTTGACCTTTAATCAAAAATATATATACCGGATTTAGATACTATGAACAGATTAATATTTATCATATGCCGCATTTCCGATGCAGCTATCACGCAAGTGGAAACCTACTTAAATTTATCAATCAGATAGGGAATAGATATTAGAGGTAATAACATATTATTATGACAATATTTCGATGACAGGACATCCTTAGGTGCATTAGGTTTTTTTATGGAATAGGAGGCAAACGAGCAGACGGATCACACACCAGCGGAGTCGGACAACACCAGAGGAGCCACAGGTGCGTTGCTCGCCTTTTAAAAAGGAGTACGCTCTTTTCTTGAAGATTTAAAGGTCGTATCGGTTCGGAAATTAAATGAAGCACCATTTTTAGGCAATCTGGATAACTTCATCTTTTGTATGAAACCTATGATTATGTTTTGGCTATGGTTTTAGTGAAATGGTGGTGATCATTGATTATCTATGAAGGAGAATAGGGATTGAACCTATTAACTAAAATCGCGGGTTACTCACGTGAATATATTGAGAAAAAAGAGGTGAGCTGCGCGACGTCGCCATACGCCGACGTACTGTTTTGACGTAATAAACACACACATACATCCTCACAAACAAAAAAGTTTATTACGTCGTATAATTATACGTATAATTTGAGGATTGTGGAGGATTCGGGGATTCGGGAGACTAGGGAAGGGGGTAATTGGGCCTCCGGTAACCTCACTCACATGACGAAACACAACGCAAGCGTTGTTTCACGTCGGTTTTCTGTGTTAAATTACAGTTAAGCCAGACTCTACAATACTATAGTATTACAATACTTACCTTACAATTTTAAAAAAAGACACACTATACCATTTTAAAGTGTGGAAGAGCCATGCTTCGCCACGAATGGGCCGGCTCGACCGGAGTGATACCACTGCCTCACAGAAAACCGACGTGAAACAATGGCTGCGTTGTGTGATTGACGTTACTTGACGCCTAATTCCCCTCCGCCCTTTCCCAATCTCCCCAATCCCTAAATCATCAACATTCCTCAAATTCCTAATCCCCAAAGGCCGGTAATGCACGTGTAACGCCTCTTGTGTTCCTAGTGTCCATGCACGGCTGCTTACCAACAGTTGTTCTGTCTGCTCGTTCACCGGCTCATCCCATAGAAAAATACCACTTACTCTAACCATTGTCCACAAACACTCCAATCACTCATGCCTTGCAACGACTTAGTAATCGCAGTCAATCTAAATAGAATCATAAAGCTGCAGACCTAAGATTGACTTTAATAAATCTAAATATAGTTTGTCAGCGCGTTCAAATGAATCATTAGTTTCCTTTATTAAGTGATAGGGTCAGATTGTGAATTGATTTGACCTCTATATGCCCTTGCACATCTTACGAGATACACTTAGGAACAGACGATTGCATGTCAATCTATACTGTTAAAACTTTCATTGTATTGTCGATCTTATTGCCTTTGTAGTAAGGTTAGAAATTGTGTAAAGGATTATTTTAGTTTATAGATACCTATAGAACGTTATAGAAACGAATTGCGTTCAGGGTGCTTACTCTTGATACCAATCTCAATGTCAATACAATTTCAATTCAATAAAATCTCAATAATTATTCCATGTCAAAACTATACAACCACTAATAGCTGTTAAAATAGCATTCACAGTACGGAATATAAAGCCAAACTCGATATCATTTGTCGCGGAGAACCTAACAGGTTACTGGAGCTCCGGCTCGACGTGCAGGAGAGGGAACGGGGTGGTTTTTAGTCAGTAAGAGTCTGACACTCCCTCCCGCCTCACCCAGGCGGGAGCAGTCATTCGATGATTTTCCTCCCTTAAAGAAAAAAACTCGATATTATTTAGTTTATTCAATATCTACGTAATATGGATGCAATGGGCGCTAGTGTTGCAACTCAAGAGTACGAAATTTTACAATACCAATGTCGATCGATCGGAATTGAATTTAACTCGTCGAGTACCGGTTTTATAGACACAATTAAAGAACAATAGGTCGCGGTCACCGGTGACCGCTTGGTGTTTGACAGTTTAAGAGTAAGCCCCTCAGTTCAAAGTCCGTTTTGTAAAAGATTAATCTTTTATTTTTACTTTTTGTTTACGTTCATGTTTTAACTGATAAATGTCAGACACGGTACAAAGTCCAGTTTAACATTTTGTGGTTTTTTTTATACCTAAGTGTTATTGATAATTTTGTAAGGTCACCGCTTGTTAGTAACTAGATATTATGTAGTTTCCTGAACTAAAAATATACTTAATGATAAAAATGATAATGACCTATTCCACATACATAACATAACATCACGCCCTTTATCCCCGAAGGGGTAGGCAAGGTACACATTACGGCATTTAATGCCACTGTACGTAGCACCCACTTTTCACTACTTATGTTATGAGTCCCATGTAATAGGGGGTGAGCCTATTGCCATAGACCGGGCACATTTCCAGTCTCCGTGCTACTACTGAGGTTTTTTTGACTGACTTACTTTGCCCGACCCGGGAAGTCGCACTTGCGACCACTCGGCCAACGAGGCAGTATTAATATACAGAAAAGTGGGTGTTACATTGTACAGTGGCATTAAGTGCCGAAATGTGCACCTCTGCCAACCCCTTCGGGGATAAAAAGGCGTGATGTTATGTTATAAACTTATACTATTTCATCTATCTTTTACAGAAAACCGCTAAGCCTTCACCACGGAGTTAAAGGCACAGCTACAGTATTCACGGGTCCAGCTTCACAGGTCAGTGCCGCGAGAGCCGGCTTCACGTCCATAGGAACAGTCACCATGAAGGAACTGGCTGAGAACGGCCTGAACTACCCCAATGACGAGAAGATATATGTCAAAGTCATGATCAAACGGTTTGATGAATAGGGTTTAAAGGAATATGTGCTTTAATGTTATATAATTATAAAGATCAGAATCATATATCCAAATACTCAAATGCTACTCAATTTTAATCGCACTTAATTTACCTATAGTTCTGTCTCTACAAATTCTTTGTGAAATGAAAGAGATGGCACGATGTTTACATACAACTTAAAATTGAGTAACCTTTCAGTATTCGGGCGATAGTCTATTGACTTGTACATGGTAACATATCGAGCTGAGTAACCAGTATAAAATGACCCTTGAGTATGCGAAAAGATCATACAGAGTGAGACCAATGATAAACTGGTTATGTTATGGCTTGGTAATAATAATAATATACCTTACAAAATATGTTTTGGGTGTGCCACTAATAGATGTTATAAATAGTAAATGTCAATACCAGAGGTATATATATGTTTAGACAATTGTATTTGTATTTTAATAACAAATATGCATCAAAGATTGGTATTATTAATAACATTTTCAGTGAATTCTAATTATTTAAATTTTCAATGTTTATAAAAAGGTGTGCAGTATAAAAATTGTTATCTAATTTAAGACTAATAATAATATTTGTGGGACAGGGTGTGAGAATAATATATTAATTTATTTAAGTATTAATTAAATAAACAATTTAATATTTTAATTAAGTGTTATCGCATGTTTAAAAGCCTTTTGGCTGTATCAAAAACAAATTAATAAAAAATTGAATATCATATAATTACAACAAATTAATATATTATTACACATATCTTTAAAGTTATAAAAATCATGCCTATCTTTAAGTCGTAAATAACTTTAAATAAGAATATACACAGGACAATTTTAAAAACACTATTACTTAATATAACCAACTTTTAGCTATTAAGCTCCGTCTTTCTTGCACTGCTCAATGCTCGACCATTCTGACGCAATTGTAATAGCAGACTAAGGCCCCTGGCCGATTGTTTACCATCAGGTGATTCATCTGCTCGTTCACCGGCTTATTCTATAAAAAATCCCATTTTTTTATGCCACGAAGGTGGTAAAAAAGCACGCGGCCCACCTGATGGTAAGCGGTTACCGTGGCCTATGTACGCCTGCAACACTTGGGGGCATTACATGCGTCTTGCCGACCCTTAAGAAACCTATTCACTCTCCTCTTGAAGAACCCCATGTTGTAGCCCACTGGGAAAACCACAGAAGGGAGTTCATTCCACAATCGGAGGGCCCGTGGGAGGAAATTCCTCTGAAACCGAACTATACGGGACACATATGACATAAAATAGTAGCAGTGTCTTTAAAATTATCCTTTCTGTATAAAAATGCTCTTCAAAGCAGTGTGTGATTTTCCGTAGATAGAGAGAAATTGTAGATTATTATAGGGCACACAATAGACCTAGTATTTAAGCTTTAAGTACTGGAGAATTAAGCATATAGATTTTTACATATTAAGTTTTATATCATAGTTGATATCTTTACAATTAAGACATTGATATTAAAATTAAATATGTTATTAAAATTACTTTTGGAACACTAATATAACTGTTTGTTCAGTCCTCGCTCACCCCCTATTACATGGTACTCATAACATAAATAGTGAAAAGTGGGTGTTACATTGTACAGTGGTATAATGTGCACCTCTGCCTACCCCTTTGAGGATAAAAGGCGTGATGTTATGTTATGTATGTTGTTCAGTCCTTTATTTAATCTGTATGCATGTTATATTATATTTTTATGATTCAAAGTTTATTATTGTATCTAATCTTACATAATCATTATACATATAATTCTGCTGTGTGTATGTCATTGATCTACTCCTAAACGGCTTGACCGATTTAAATGATTTTTTGAGCGTTTGAGTGTCAACTTGGATGGTTTAGATTCACAAATCAGCCCGGCAGGTGGCGCTGCAGTCGAGTCTAGATTAGTTATCCTAAACAGCTGAACTAATTTGAATGAAGTTTTGTTTATACATTCCAGTGGATATGCAGGACAACGTCTGTTGGGTCCGCTAGTTATTATTATATAAAGCTGAAGAGTTTGTTTAAACGCGCTTATCTTCGGAGCTACTGGTTCTCATAGAAACACTTCTATTACTAACAAGTAGTATACCTAGTTACCTACTCTTCTCTGCCCCACTCTAAGGTCAGACTGTGTGTACGATAGCGCATGAAGCGTAGTAAAAATAAACTAAAATAATATCGAGGGGTAACGGGCTATTTGGTTTAAGCGACATTTTGGGCGATATTGAGTTATATATATATTCGGAATCAGCGAATTTTTCTCCGTCGAATGATGCCGGTTTCATTAAAATCAGAGCACTTTTTTGGCGTTTCAAACAATTCTATTTTCATGTTGTTTCCAAAGTGGCAGTGTATTAAACGACATGGATTTCGCATTTTTTATTAAATTATGTACTTGAACCATACCATCATATTAATAACCGAGACATAAACCAGTCACCCTATCTCTAATTATTAAGTCAACATGAGTTAAAGCGTTTTTCTTGTTTCTAATTTTTATTAACAAGTAACTTGAATCATTTTGACTTCCCACTAATCACACGGTGTGATGTCGCTTAAAACATTTGTCCGTCATCCAAGTGCGTCATGGTACGTCTCTTAAACAATTCTAGCTGCCTCTATTTTCTACGCAGGGTGCTACTTAAACCAAATAGTTGTTTTCGTTCAGATATTTTGTTTAGTCATAAACCATTTAACCCTCCTTTTTTTTTAAATGCATGTCGTTTTATACAGACGATAACATTGATAATGAATATTAAAACATTTTTCCAGTATTCATAGAAATACGAGTCGGTCTTTCAATCACTAAGTTTTAATATGGTACATTTCAATCATGTCATATGATACCATATTTATTTCATCGCCCTGATGTTAAAAATCGTTATCATCCAACTGGACTATCGTGCGCTGGCGCTTCAGTCACTCCAGAGTGCGCCGAAGACAGACGGGACGCGCACACACCGCCAGTGTTTACGTAAAACGCTCATCGAAATTGAATCCTAAGTACTTTAATTTTAAGATGAACCTCGCAGTCGTTCGAAGTCTTTGGCGACAATGACAATTTAACTCGTCGAGTACCGGTTTTATAGACACAATTAACTCGTCGAGTACCGGTTTTATAGACACAATTAAAGAACAATAGGTCGCGGTCACCGGGGACCGCTTGGTGTTTGACAGTTTAAAGAACAATAGGTCGCGGTCACCGGTGACCGCTTGGTGTTTGACAGTTTAAAGGCTATTGTGGAGGCTGACGACATACAATCTACGGCTGATTTAGCAGCAGCTTTCGACCTTAGCGTCAAAACAATATTGGTCCATTTGCGTCCAATTGGCAAGGTAAAAAAACTTGACAAGTGGGTGTCCCACAAACTAAATGATCAACAGAGCTAAGTATGCATCGAGCATTGCGAGGGGGACTGGGATGCCGTCTCCTCCTTTTGCGAAGCAGTTATGCTAGCTAAGGAGGAGGCGGGACGCGTGAGGCAGCGAAGCGCTGGCTTCTCGCAACCCAGCCATCGCGAAGGACACACCTGGTGTCGGGGATCGCGGGACGATCTCCGGCCACCGTAGGCGTCCGACCAGAAACAGACCCGAGCGAACGCCTCAAAGAGCCATCAGACCACCACAGATGGGGCCCAACAGGGCCGATGCCGATTCGGAGTCGCGGAGAACCTAACGGGTAACCGGGGCTCCGGCTCGCCGTGCAGGAGAAGAAGCGGGGTGATTTTTAGTCAGTAAGAGTGTGACACTCCCTTCCGCCTCACCCAGGCGGGAGCAGTCATTCGATGATTTTCCACCCTTAAAAAAATGCATCGAGTAGTGCCTTGCACTGCATTGCTCAATATACACATAAATGAAGGAATTTTGATTTGCATTGTCACCTCCGATGAAAAATGAAATCTGTTTGATAACCACACGCGTTTAGCATGTTGGTTGAATCCTAGTTTAGCACCAATGCCCTAAACGAAAACTTACCCCTAGAAAAGTGATGGTCACTGATGGTCTAGCGCTCGCGCTATTCTGATTCATCACAGATTCTTACCAAACGGAGTGAGCATTACTACGGATGTGTAGTGTGAAGAACTGAACACAATGATGGAGAAGCTGACACATCTCCAACCAGCACTGGTCAATCGCTAATCTCCATTGCTCCTGCATTACAACGCGCGACCTAAAGCTGCACAACAGACGGCCTCCACGTTACAAGAACTGGGGTTGGAAGCTCTCCGACATCCACCGTACTCACCAGTCACCAGACTGCTTCTTTTTCCAGAATTTGGATAACTTCTTGGCGGGAAAAAATTTAATAACCGAGAGGCAGTACAAAATGCATTTGAAGAATTTGTTGCTACCCATCCAGCTGATTGAAAAAGGGCATCAATAAATTGCCACTGCGTTGGCAACGATGCATTGATTGCATGGGTGATTACGTTGATTATACAAATAAAAAATACATGAAAAAATCGTTTAATTTTTTTCATACAAAACGGCAATTTCAGTAAATGACCCCATTAATAATCGATATTCCTATTGAAACTGTAATTATTACTCTAAATAAATACTTTGATATTGCGTTGTGTTTATTTATTCAATGAGATTTTCGGTGATTGCGATATATCCAGGTTGTTTTATCAGTCATTAATCGCCTTAGATGTAAATAAACATACACATTAAACGTTATAATTTCAATGTTATATGTCACATAAGTAAATTAGCCTATCACTCATTTTAATCTAAATTGGTAGTTAAGATAAATAGCTTGCTTCTATTAATTTTGGGTTTCGTCACTTCATATTTTTTAGCTTACTCTGTAAATAGAGTGCATTGTCGCTTAATTTTTTTCCCTTGTAGCCAATTGTAGTTATGAAGTCACTTAAATCGTTTTTCCTGACTCTAAAAAAGGGCAGATTGTATTAAGCGACATTTATCTTTGTAATTAAAGGTCCGCTTTATTTAGAATTAGCATCAGCAACTAGATAATTTAATTTAAATTTCAATGCAATTTACCCCGTTCAAATAACTGCAGAAGTGTTTTTGTTACGAATTTTTTTTCGAAATTTCAAACTTTAAAAGGCTCTCCTGTAAAGTTGCAAAAATGTCGCTTAAACCAAATAGCCCGTTACCCCTCGATATGTTACAAATAAAAAACACAAATAGACAACATTGTTTAATTATTATTATTGTCACAAAATAATGGAGATATAATTATAACTATTAATATACAATAATACATGTCAGTCAACATTAACATAAACAATTATCTTTATATAGAGAGTAATCGGAACGCTCCCGGAAAACGCCGGTGACGGTTAAAAACACGTTTATTTTCATTAAAGTATGGAATTAAATGTTTGTTTTATGTAATAATAGTTTTAATTAAGCCAAAGGTACACTAAGGGACAAAAATCGTGCGACACATATCACCAGCGCCGTTGGGTGAAGTAGTGCGAACAAAATTTAGACACAATTTCCAGTATGCGCCGCGACCGCGCACGCTGCTCATGAGGAAGAACTCTTCTGTAGTTCGATACTAGTAGAGCTTTTCTCAGTATATTTCCGTGAGTAGCCCGCGATTTTTACTTAATTTAGTATGTCTCACGATAGTTATTATAAAACATAGCTATTGTTTATTTGTCTGCGTTTTCCGGAGCGGTCCGTATAGACCATGTATGTTTTCGTTGTTCAGATTGTTAATAAACATTAACACCTAGTTTAAAATAGTCAATATTTAATTATTTAACGTTAAAAACAATTATTTACTCACAAAGGTTTTAACCAGGAATACAAATTAAAAGTAAAAGTAGTAAATCTAGTTTCAAACTTTTTTACAACGTTTTTTATACACAGAACATCCTTTGTATGGTTATCATTTTAAACAGAATCAAAACACATGAATTTTATACCAAAATTTTGGAAAATGCTGGCATAAAGCCAGAAGCTGTGACGTACATTGCTGTTTTAATAAATAACAAGTTTTTAATAATTTAAACAAGAATAGATGTTATAGGTACACAATTAAGGTTTAAAATATCATTTCGATGCCTTAGTTTACAATTGCACTAACTACGAAATTTACATTTTTGAGGAGAGAGCTTTAAAGTTTTTTAAAGTTTAGACGAGAACAGTAGAAAATCCAAGTAAAATAACAAAAAAATATGCATCAGACTCATAAGACTAGTCCTTTTACTCCATCATATATCAATATTGTAATATTAGTTTAAACGTAACCTTTTCAAAACGGCCAAATAAAAAGAAAACCTCCCCTTTAATACATTTGTGCACTAAGACTGATTATGCTGACCGGCATTAAGTGAATAACTCAAAAATATTTAACAGCTTTACCAGGCCGGTTCAAGGTCCAAGAAGAGGGATAATAATAGTTATGGATATTGCATTAAATAGACAAAATAATAAACCAGTGATCCATATTCATAATGTTTATTTTTATTACAAAACACAAACAGTCTTTATTCACAATCAAATAAAATAAATTTCAAAATCACAACAAAAAAATTAAAAGAACTGAAGCCCAATTATAGGCCAATCTTTAGCTATTTCACAAAACAATTATCATTCCTCTGAATCATTAAAATAAGTTTTTTTATTAAAAAATAAAGTCAGTCTTCAGTTTCAGGTAATAATTATTCATTTTTACTAATTGGTAATTAAAAATTGAATCAAAAATTAAATTTCTTCAATAATGGACTCTTCATCTGGATCATCATCAGACGATTCAGTGTCATCACAATTATTGTTAACAATAGTCGCAGAAGTGGATGGAATATCTTTGTAATAGTGCTCATATTCTGGTGGTATAACCCCATCATTTAAAAGTGTTATCAGATCTTTCTTTTTAGTTTCCGACACTGGAATCAGTGATTTATATGCTCCTTTCAGAGGTTTCTTTAGTTTGCTTATACATATGTCTTTATTTTTTTTCATTGTTTTTGTCTTACAAATGTCTATTTCTTTGAAATCTGGATCGGTCAAATCGTATTTGTAAAAAATTGAAGTGGGGGATTTTTTCTGCAGCCGCAGCCACTTAATTTTCAGCCACTGTACTTGCTCATTTTTTGTATTTTTTGTTGTATTGCAATTCAAAGTTTTTTCGAATCCCTTCAAATCATAGAATTCCCCGTGTTTCATAATAACAACATCGTAGGGTTTCAGCTTGATTCTAGCCGACCCTATCACCAATGCATATTCACGCAAAGTGAATATGCTTTTATGCTTTCGCGCTCTTTCAATACACGCGTGAATTGAATCCACTTCTAAATACGAATGCCCCGATTCCATGAATTTCAAATCGATTGTATCTAAGTGATGTATGTTATTGACAGCGTATAAAGCGGCTAGAGTAACATATTTATTGCGGTTCTGACCACCACAAGTGTCAGAAAATGATGCGACATGAGTAACAGTTTCGGGTAAACTACTAAGATATTTTAACAATATCGATCCGATTTCAGTAGAACCTTTTTTGCCATTACACTCGTCCCATAAATAACAGTAGCCAGTGTTATCATAACAATCTAGGATAGTAAAATTGTACATCGATAATTTACGTAAATAATAGATTTTGCAGTCTCCAGTAAAAGGTACCGATAGGATAGCTTGAAGGTCAAATGTTATAGCCCGGAAAGCTCCATCTGAATTCATGCATCTTTGCTTATCTTCTTTTTTCATAGTCAGTGCATCATTTTCGCGTTTCTTGTGGGCATCATAATCTTCCTGTAAGGGAGCTCTATTGTCGGATCGTTTATACACGTTTCATTTGGTGCACTGGTCTTTCTTTGGCTTGTAAAATGCTAGTCTTGGATTATAAGAGTGGAAAATCTTTTGATACACATAAGGCGATACAGGAGTTATCATCTTTTCGGGGCAAAAAACATCTTTGTACAATTGATATAAGCGACTCAGGTTGAGATCGCTGTCTAAATACTGTTTTTTAGAACTTTTTCGGCAATAGTGGGATTCAACGCGAGGGTACAGGTTAATATGCTCTTTAACAAAATTAGTAGACTCCACTGAAGTAATGTTTGCGGGCATTTTTCCTATTCGTTTGTCAGTGCCCATAAATATGCCGTTGAGCCCTCTATTTTTTGAACAATTATTAATGATGCTTGAACTAATGTTAAATGTATTACAAAAAAACTTTTGGCAAACTCGTTTTTTACCTACAGATTGATGAAATAGCCAATACTGACGTGACATAGTGCGATTTTTTTTTGCCTTCGTATAAAGACGTAAGACTTCAGCGTGAGAAATCAGGCTACTGAGCATCATTTTTTGTTGTTTTGTATCACCTAGGCTCCAGTACTCTTCAAAGATATCCTGTCTCAGATTTTCTGGAAACAAAGAATTGCACTGATATCGACATTTAGAGCAATCTGTAGGCTTGCATTCTTTTGGTTTCATAAATTTTCCATTTCTACTTGTGTACCCTTTACCTGTTTGGCGTAAATTTTTAAGAACATTTCTTTTCCATGTTTCGGGCATTGCCTTCTTTCTTCGTTTTGGTTGATTTTCCTTTGTAGCTTCTACTGAGTCACTTACGTCAGTTAAATCGCTATCTAATGATAATGGTAGATGGCGTGGTTTAGATGGTGAAAGAGCATACGACGATTCAGAATCAATATATGGAGATATTTCGTTATCTGACAAATATAGATCTTGGTGTAATAATGTATTTTCACATGTTGATGTACTCGGCTTTGGTGAAACATGAACAGATTCGCTGGGAACAGGCAGGTCTTCTAACAGCTGTGCGTTGAGAACAGATGGGGAAATTTCTTTTGAAAGATGATCCGAATCAGATATTTTAGAGGCAGATTCTACATATTGCAGAGACTCAACGTCGTGACCTAAGACTGCATTTGATTTAGCAGACTGTGATGGATCTCTTTTTTGATCAATAGCATTTATGGGAGCAGCGGTGATTACATCGTTTTCTGTAATGGTAATGTCAGGAGATGCTTGTGAAGTTAGAACTGACTCGGATTTGTCACAGTTGATTATATCTTCAAGTGAATTAGTGTTATCAAATTCTGGGACTATTACTTCATTGGCTGTGCATATAGGCGATGTCGTTGAATTTTCAATGAAAGCTTGACTTTTTGCAGCAATCTCATTAGATATTTTGTCAAATAGAGTATTTAAATTCTTTGCAACTTTTGACCGTGGTGTTTGAGTGACGCTAACTTCATTTATAGCTGGCGATTTGAAGATCAAAGTTTTGTTTGAATTTCTGTCCTCATTTTTTTGCTGAGATTTGTAGCTATCTGCCAACAACTCTGCAGAAGTAACATCTGTAATAAAACATTGACATTTGAGTGATATTAAACTAATAAAAGATGGCGAAAGGTTCGCCTTACGTGCCAGTAATCTGAAGAAATTAACACACAGCAGTACCTACAGTAAAAACTCCTTATTCGCGCTTCCTTAATTCGCATTTTAACTATTCGTGGATTTTTTTATTAGATTCCTAAGTTTCAAATGAAAGGGGAGCTCTAATAATAATTGTGTGTTATACACACACACGCGCACTCTTCACGTGTGATTAACAACAATGCTATATTTTTAATTTAATGAATTATAATTATTATTTTACATTCCATCACGTTAGCAAGATGAACAGTAATCTTATGTATTAACAGCACTTATGGTTATGCACAAACACATTAAGTGCCTTTAGTTTTCTCTCTGAGAATATATGGTTTAATGCACAAAAGTATTAAATACGTTTAATATGACTGACTACTTATATGGTTGAATAGTTATTTGCTAATAATAGAATTGTAGTCTTAATAAACTACGCATATTAATAAATATACAAAAATAAGGTACGAAAGATCTTAATAATTTGTTTAGCGTTTAATAATTATTAGGTCAGTGGGTAGCCTCAGGGGCAGATTTATTTCAGAATAAGACGTAAGTAATAAATAATTTAAACTACAACGTATCGCAAAAGTACGTGAATTGCCAACGTCGTCACAAGTCGTGAGCACAAACATCGCGATCAAACGCTCCACGCAACCGATCCTACAGACGGACTAATCAAATAAACCTAAAAAAGAACCCAAAAATCAAAAAATAAACTTGACATTTTGTACTCACGACTAGTGACGACTACTATACCTATAACACTTGCATACGGACGGTCTCAATAATATTAAGCTACACTTGATGCCCTGTCTTTTATTTATACCATCCCTCAAAAGATTAAACTGTCACTCATGTTAATAATCATTATGGTGTTTAGGGTACGATATTCAAAGGCGATGATAGGTAGCCGTAAGTTATTTAAAAACGAATGACAAGTTAATTAATTAATGTAACACTTATTTTACTTACTTTTGGCTATTTTATGTGATGAACTCTTCACTTCTGCTTTTTGGCCGGACACTGATGGTGGCACGTCTTGCGAGTCCGTCTTGTTTATATCAGTTTGAATCACTAAATCGACTAGTTTACGTCCTTTACTAAACATTATGGCATTTAACTTATACACAGTAAACTTCTTAAACCTTCAAACGTCTAAATTATCTCACTTTCCGCAGAGCAAACGAATATTCTGCAGTCTGCACGTATAAACTTGTTTACGTTTGTGGCATACGCTGGACGACGCGGTCAAGCGGGGAAGCGGAGGGCCTACGCCCCGCTACCCCGCACGCAATCCCGTACGAACGAACGAACCATGACTGCGCTGCTCATTGAAAATTACGCGCCAAAATCAATCTTTAAAACACAAATGTCTTAAATGTAGGTAATACGCTTCAGTATTCACACTACGAAATAAACATTAAATTAAATGGGCTTAGTTTATTTCCGCTTTTCATTTATTTCACATGTACACTGGTAATATATTATCTCAAAAGGATTAAATGTATTTGTGCACTTCAAAATTTGTCAAACCCCTTCAAGTAAAAGTACTTAATACACTTGTACAATTCGGACTATATCTCAAAACGGTTTAATGTATTTATGCATTTAAAAAATTGCCAAGCCCCTTCCAATAAAAGTACTTAGCACACTTGTGCATCAAACTTTCTTGATCCTTTTGTACTAACAACACATAATTCACTCTTGTAGCACTGCTAAAAAGTATGAGCAGATATTGCAAATGTATATAATACGTTTGTGTTTTGAAATTTCCTACAGTTGAGAAACTTAAAATCAGTTAAAGTATATCTTGATTGGTTTTACAAAAATAAAGATCATTAGTATAATACCACATATAAGAAACATTAGACGAGGTCATTTAATACAACTGTGACCCACGTTTTTGGTAGAAAGAGACGGAATAACGGTATTTCGATGCGCGGAAACGAAAGAGCATGAAATTTAGTGTATTTGGCATTAAAAAAGTAAAAATTGAAAATTTTGTAGTTAGTGCAATTGTGAACTAAGGCATCGATTTATATTTAGATGAGACGGTTTTTATGTATTAAAATACCAGCTTCAAGCAAAAAAGGCTCTAAGATTCTCTGTCCACTAGAGTTCGCAATAAAGAACTCAAACTTCAAATTGATAAGGTTTAAAATGCAACTGCCACTAAGAGGGGATCTTCTTTACGAAATTCAGACATATCTGCTTCAAGCAAAAATAGGCTTTATGTTTTATACATACAGGATCGAAATTCCAATACGTTAGTACTTCGGAAGAGCAATTCTTTTTGAAATAGAAGGTATACCTGGCATAAGCTGGAAACATCCCTATTTCTTAAATGTTAGGGTCTAAAGTCGGGTAGGCAGTGGTCTTCAGGCTTCGGTGGTGGATCATCAGTGAGGTATGAGCTAAGTAGTACGGGCGCACATACTGGTATTCTCTTAGATATCAGCCACGCACTATCTCTGTCTGATAAGGGATAGCGTTTGATATCCGCGAAGCAAACTGTGATGTTTTCATTCGTGTAGGGCGGCCTGGAATTGGAATAAAGAAGTTATTTATAATTTTTAGGTAGCGTTTGAGTAGTAGATACCAGGGTGCTTACTCTTGAAACCAATCTCAATGTCAATGCAATTTTAATCCAATAAAATTTCAATAATTATTTAGTGTCTACACTATATCTGCTACATCGAGGGGTTTATCTTTCTGCGAATTTATGATGGATATCTGTAATCTGTAACTGGTCCGAGGTAGGAGCCTGGAGATCCGTCACACAGGGAATCCTAGTATGGACTCCAGTCTCTCACAAAGGAGTACTTTGTTTGCATCTGATTATTGTATCTTATTTCTATAAAATATCCTTTGTGTAGAGAGATATTAAATAAATTTATTTATTATTATTATTTATTATTACTATACAACCACAATCGTAGCTGTTAAAATAGCATTCAGAGTACGGAATATAAAGTCAAACTCAATACCATTTAGTTCATAAAATATTCACGCAATACGGACACAATGAGCGCTAGTATTGCAACTCGAGAGTACGAAATTTTACAATACCAATGTCGATCGATCGGAATTGAATTCAAGAGTAAGCCCCCAGGGTGTCGGCGACTACTAGGTATCAGACAATTCTATTAAGATTTATAGTTAGCAAAATTTCTCAATCATGATAAGGACGTCTCACTATTACATGAGAACTGGACACATCTTCGCTTACGACCCAGGCAAGATGGGGGCCGAACGTCAAACTATCCTTACTAAGAAAGTGAGTTTGTTTATTTGTTTGTTCCGCTTTCACGCAATAATTACTAAACCGATTGCTTTGAATTTTTGCAGATGTATAGTTAGAAGTCCGGATTAAATAATAGGGTACTTTTTATCCCGGTTAAATTTGATATTCCCAAGGGAAAACAAAAGTATTGGTATAGATGGTATATGTCACATAGGCTACTTTTTATCCTTTTGTGACGCGAGCGAAGCCGTGGGTAAAAACTAGTCAAGTATAAAAAAGAACTATAACATGCACAACATACATTTACTTTACGTTTTCAGCTCTACGATTTACTCATATATAACTCATTAGCAGCCATTCATAAATTAGGTCATAATTTAAGGGGGAGGGAGGGTGTCGACGAAGTGTGACATTATGTGACAAGGGGGAGGGAGGGATCCAAAACTTTGTGATGTCACATTTCAAAAACTATTATAATCTGCGTTAAAATACGAAATACAATTGTATTAGTGTTTTTTATTTTGTTTATTGTTTTAACATTAATATTTTTTTAAAAGTAATTGAAGTGGAAATAATAATAACAATAGTTTCTATACTGTAATTCTGTAAAACTTGACGTCACGTTAAAGGGGGGGGGAGTCTCGCAAATATGACTAGCTGTGACAAGGACGGGGGAGGGGCAAAAAAATCATAAATTTCGTGTGACGTAATTTATGTATGACCCCTTAAAGTAAACGGTAAAGAGTTGGCTCCGCGCTAATGACTATGAAACTTTAACATTCGGCTCGAAAGTAGTCAAGTAATCTCGGCAAACAGTGACATGACTAAAAGCTGCAAATCATAATTAACTTTTTTTTTGGCATAAGCCGGTAAACGAGCAGACGGATCACCTGATGGTAAGCAATCGGCGTCGCCCATGGACACCTGGAACACCAGGGGCGTTACAAGTGCGTTACCGACCTTTTGGGGATTAGGAGTTTGAGGATCATTGGGGATTCAGGGATCGGGGAGATTGGGGAAGGTTAGGGTAATTGGGCCTCCGGTAACCTCACTCACACGGCAAAACACAACGCAAGCGTTGCTTTACGTCGGTTTTCTGCTCAGCCGTGGTATCACTCCGGTCGAGCCGGCCCATTCGTGCCGAAGCATGGCTCTCCCACACTTAAAACTTACTGCGTATCGTACAATAAATGAATACTCACTCGTCATCGGGCGCCTGTCCGTCCCCTGCCGTAACGAGCCTGGCCAGCAGCCTCCTGCGCGGCGGCGGCACGTGCAGTAGCGCCACGACGCCCGCGAAGGGCCCCGCCCGCCCCGCCGCGCGCGCGCTGCGCCAGCGGTGCGCCGCGCGCGACAAGGTACGCTCCGCGCCCGACAGGGGAGGGAGGCAGGTCGCTAGGGGATTGCCCCATTCGTATTCTTCTTCCTGTGTTTGAAAACAAGACTCAATACTGTTCATTTTATTTATAAATAGAAAGGCAATGAATTTTGCCCTACCAAAATGCTTGAATAACGAAAACTTTCAATTTTTTCTTTATTATAAAATAGTTACATACATTGAAGTACGTACTACGACAATACCCAATGAATTTTAGGCACAATTGAAATCGTAAACCGAAGTCATGATCTCCATGATACAAAAAGATCCTATAAATCCTTCCAACAGGTAAAAACATTACCTTACCAACATTAACTTTCGATCGTTGACAACCAGTGTAAACTGACCGTTGAATGAACGACAAAATCATATAAGTCGAGACCATATTAACTAGATATGTATAGCTTGATATGTAGTCTTGTTTACTAATAAATTAAAGCAATAAAAATAATGAGGTGAGATGATTGTGTGGGGGAATTTCACAACTTGATTCCCCCAGGTCCTTCCCATAATCGTACCACAAGACAATCGGCGAAACGTCACCGATACATGGTAGATATCCCACCCACACGCACAAGCGCTTCGCATCAAGCTTCCTTGTGCGTACTGCTAAGGAGTGACAGTCTTTGCCAGAGTCTGTGTTTCCTGAAGGGTATAACCTGGGTGTCTTCAAGGCCCGAGTGAATAGGTTGCTTATGCGTCGACGTGCTCCATCGTAGACCGCAACATCGCTTACCACCAGGCGAGATAGTGCTGAAACGTCGGCCCATCAAATATAAAAAAAACTAGCTTTTACCCGCGCCTTCGCTCGCGTTACAAAAGAATAAAAAGTAGCCTATGTGACATATACCAATACACACAGCGCCATATATACCAATACTTTTGTGTTTCCTCGGGAATATCATTTTTTTCCGGGTTAAAAAGTACCCTATTATTTAATCCGGACTTTTAACTTTACGTCTGCAAAAATTCAAAGCAATCGGTTGAGTAGTTACGACGTGAAGGTGGAACAAACAAACTCACTTTCAGATTTATAATATTAGTAAGGATAATAATTATAATGCGTATGTTATTCCACTCACCGGTAAGAATAGTCCCGCCGCGCGGCTCTTGGCGACATAGACCGGATGCAGCACCCAGCGGCCGGCGGCCACGGAGCCGAGCATCTTCTCGCTGCGGCCCGGCGCCGCGCATAGCAGGTGGCTCGCCTCGGGGTCCAGCTCCGCGCCCTCGCATACTTCGCCGCCCAGGTGGGTTATCATCGCTATTATTTCTTCTCGATTCTGTGGAAAGAAAAAGAAATATTGATACAGAGATAATAGGGATGATGACAGGGTATGAAAATTAAAAATGTAATTAGTCCGTCAGTTAGGTAATGAACATTTTGTTGTATAATAAAATGATACTTAAATATAACGAATCAAAGTTTAGGAGTGGGGGCTAAAACGTCATTTCTCTAAATAAAATGTACATAGAAGTGACGTCACGAACCATCAATAACGATATTGTTCTTTGAATTTTGTACGAAAAACTAACTTATGACGTCATCATATATCATGTTCGAGTCAAGGAGCACGTTTATTTCTAAAAAACTTGCAAGAATAAATCGAAAAAGAAGTATATCGTCAAATATATGAATGAAAGTGTAATTATTTTTCAATATTTATTTGGATTGAAAAATCAAAATAATTTATTTTAACCCAGGAAAATACCCAATTAGATTCTATGCTAATTAAGGAATAGCAACCGTTGACAAACATTTACGACCACACAACCAACATAACAACACATTACGATCGTATCGTAATGTGTACATATGATAACTCTCCTTACAAAATAATTAAACTCACATCAACGTTAGAAGAGAGCATGAACCGTTTGACAGGCGCCGCTTGTAGTTCAGGCTCGGCTTGTTGAGCGGGCGTCGTATCGTCCCATCCTACTGTATTTGGCTGAGATTCTGGTGCCGGCTCTGAGTCGGGAACTGAAATAAAGAGAAGAATAGAATACATTTATGACTGTTCGTACTCTTGCCTTTTTTTTAAGAGGGGAAAATCATCGAATGACTTCTCCCCGGGAGGGATTGTCAGACTCTTACTGACTAAAAACCACCCCGTTCCTACTCCTGCACGTCGAGCCGGAGCCCCGGCTACACGTTAGATTCTCCGCGACTCCGATCGCACTCTTCCCTTGAATGTCATAAAAGATGAATAAGGAATTATGTACAATGATGTAGTACATAATTTTGATAAATCGGTCTCTGATAAACCTAAATATATTTTTAACCCTTCAAAAAAGGAGGAGGTTCTAATTCGACCGTATATGTTTTATATTGAGATCTCCAATCTACCTGCTTATTGCTACATGGGACGATTTTGGCAAAACCTTTGGAATACTACAATATAAATGTGATCTTTATTTAATCTAGCTGTTGACTATCACAGGCCGATTGATAATAGTGAAAAATGAATAGAATAAGGTAATTTAAGAACAGTTTGAAGTTAAATTCGACTAAGTTATACATATATATAAACGACTGTCTCATTGGTTGACTGATCGCAAGTGCGACTGCCGGGCAAGGGGTTTCAGGTTCGATTTTCGGGTCGGGAAAAGTATAACTGGGTTTAAAAAATCTCAGTAGTAGCATGGAGTCTGGAAATGTGCCCGGTATATGGCAATAGGCTCATCCCCTATTACATAGGACTCATAACATAAATAGTGAAAAATGGGTGTTACTTCTGTGTGCACCTCTGCCTACGCCTTCGGGGATAAGAGGCGTGATGTTATGTTGTTATTATACATAGTATATACAGAATATACTGTCCAACGTACGTGGCGCAGGTACAGTGGGCGTGGAGTCTCTATGTCTCCGCGGGCGCTGCGAGCTGTGGCGGCCAGTCAGCGCCGCGCTCAGGCGCTGCAGCTGCGCGTCCACCGCCGCCGGCAGGGGGGACGGGGCCGCGGCCGGAGGGGGGGCCACTGACATTGTACTCGCACTTACTATACCGCCTGGACTCTAGAAAAAAAATATTAAAAATGATAATATATTTCTTTCATTTTCTGTATCTTTTTTTTTAACATATACTGACCAGCGGGCTTACTCTTGAATTCAATTCCAATCTATCGACATTGACATTGTGAAATTTCGTACTCTCGAGTTTCAACACTAGCTCCCATTACATCCATATTGCTTGGATTTTTCATGAACTTAATAGTATTGAGTTTGGCTTTATATTCCGTACTCTGAATGCTACTTTAACAGCTACGATTGGGGTTGTATAGTTCTGACATTCGATAATTATTGAGATTTTATTGGATTAAAATTGCATTGACATTGAGATTGGTTTCAAGAGTAAGCACCCAGATTGGCGATATATTAAATAAGGGTCAAATTAAAAATACCCTTAACGGACGAGCATGCATGAAAAGATTGATGACTGTTGATGAAGCGAAAGAGGTATGTAGGAATCGTAACAATTGGCATTCCATAGTATCTGCCAACCCCAATGGGAGACTAGCGTGAAGTTATGTAAACAGCCGTTTGTTGGCTGTTAACGTAAGAATAAGTATAATAAGAAATCAGTTCAAAAGTCATTATAAAATGTTTAATCATACCTGGTCTTGTGTTAATTTCGCCATTTTCGCAGGTGGAGTCTCGCATTGTTCCTATGAGAAAGAAATGAACGTTAATAAACACCACCCAACGTTCTATAATCGAATGGAAGATGTCCATGAAAGATTAACAAATTAAACTAAAATATTATTTATTTAATAATAGGGATGATGACAAGGTATGAAAATTAAAAATATAATTAGTCCGTAAGTTAGGTAATGAAAAAATTTTAGACACGATTTTTTTTATTTCTACGTATAATAAAACAATACTTAGATAAAACGAATCAAAGTCCAGGAGCAGGGGGTAAAACGTCATTTCTACGTATAAAATGTACATAGAAGTGACATCACGCGACTTTTCCAATCAATATATCGACGAAACTATTCGTTTTTGTAAAAAAATAAAAAATACGTGTCTAATGTTTTTAAATAATCTACCAGACGGACAATAAAATAAAAATTATTCATCTACCCTATTCATGTACACACAAACAGCACAGAGTACAATACCTTTTTCTCTTGGTCACAGCATCACGCGATAGCTGGATCGATTTCACTAATTCTTTGTTTTGTTGTATTTGTTATTATTAGGAGAAGGTTTCTTAAGATAGAAAAAAATCTGAAAATCCTACAGGAATGGGACAAAACGGGATTGCGCGTACCAAGTCGCGGGCAGAAGCTAGTATAACATAAAATTGGAATACTTAGCGCTATTAGTTTTCATACCATTTTTTTAACATTGCCCCACTCTAGAATTTTCTCCTGTGTCGTGGGTGCGTTTACAAACATACAAGTTTATAAACACATGACACCCATACCCGGAACAACATTCTTTTGGAACACACAAAGAGTTGTTCCGTGCGGGAATCGAACCCGTGACACATTGCATAGCAGCCAGTTGCCCAGCCACCGCGCCAACCATGCAGTCAAATAGTAATAAAGTACTGCTCATATCAAAACAAGTACCTGTAATTGAAGTTTTCTAGGTGCTACAGTAGGATGTTCTGAAGGCGGCGTAGGCGCATCTCCGTTGAACTGCGCTAAAAATCTATTGCGGATCTCCGATAACGGCTGTAAGTATAACAAGAAATGATATTATGATAATACATCTGGAGATGTAAACACAAATCATCAATGTACACGCAAATCTGTCACGGGTCTAAACTGAATAGTTTAGTCCATCAGTTGACCAATTTAATAAACGCATCTAAATAAAAAAGTAAAGTAACTACTGTTACATGTAAGATATGAACATCACTAATTAGTAAGTAGTGGCCCCCTCACTATAATGTGTTATATAAGGTAGAACACTATTGATTAACGCCGCTGTCTACCTGTCTTAGTCTGGTGTGTGTACACGTCGTGCGCCCTGCACATTATTGTAATAAATCCAAGTATTATAAATCCGTCTACAAATTATTAATCCACTAACGTAACAACTACTTAAATAAAGCGAATAATTATAACTTAGATGTAAAATATTTTTTTTCAATAGATGCAAACTTTTTTTAAAACCTACTGTAACACTTCTCTGCATCACCCTATTGTTGGCTGGTAGAGAATGGCATTCGGCATTAAGTCCGCCATTGTATACAGTTGTACATAAAGTGTTAAATAAATAAAATAAATAAAAATAGCAATACAGCGATACAACATCAAGCACACAAAGTAAATAGAATTACGATGATCATATCGTCATATTATAATTATGAGTAATGATACCACCTTCTCATTACTTGGTTTTCATAATGATGGTGACGGTTCTAATAGCAATAGAGGATGAAACAACTTACTACACATCCATTCAATTTGGAATGCTACACAAACAGAATTGTATTTAGTACACAATATGACATTTAGACACGGAATAACAATTTGTGAATCACATCTTTATATATACTGCCTCGTTGGCCGAGTGGTCGTAAGTGCGACTGCCGGACAAGGGGTCTCGGGTTCGATTGCCGGGTCGGGCAAAGTATTACTGGGTTTTTTAAATATTCTCAGTAGTAGCACCGAGTCTGGAATTGTGCTCGGTATATGGCAATAGGCTCACCCCCTATTACATGGGACTCATAACATAAATAGTGAAAAGTGGGTGTTACATTGTACAGTGGTATAATGTGCACCTCTGCCTACCCCTTCGGGGATAAAAAGGCATGATGTTATGATGATGATGATGTTATGATCTTTATATATATAATTATTTTGTGAGTGTGTATGTCACTGAATTTCTCTCAAACGACTGGACCGATTTTGATGAATTTTTTTGTGTGTTCTAGGGGATCTGGGAATGGTTTAGATTCACAAATCAGCCCGGCAGATGGCGCTGCAGTCGATGTTTACGTTATTTATCCTAAACAGCTGAACTAATTTGAATGAATTTTTGCAGGACAACGTCTGTTGGGTCCGCTAGTATTATTATAAATGTGAGTTTCTTTTTTTGTCCGTCAATCACGCTGAAACTAAGGAATGGATTTTGATAAATTTTGGTATACAGGGTATGAACTGACTTAGGTGATAATAGGATACTTTTGTATTGTAACTTTCGTGAGACATACTAAATAAATTATTATGTTTTCGGCTTACTCACGTAATAATTTGACGAGGAACTCGACTAGTTTCAAGCCATGCTAGAGGCTCATATTCATGAGCAGTATTTCGCGACTGACGATACGTTCTAAACTAGTCGAGTTACTCGTCAAATTATTACGTGAGTAAGCCGAAAACATAAGGATACTTTTTATCTCGATTAAATACTACCATTGGGTAAAACAGGAATCATATCTCACAGGCAATAGCTAGTATAAATAATTCAAATTTATGATTAGTAATTTAGTACTTTGTTTCTTTTTATTTTGTTATTATTTTTTCATTATTTGTTTTTATTATTATATTAATTTTGTAGGGGGTACTGTGTCGACCACATTCTTTTATAGCATAAGTTTGTTTTTTATATGTGAAGACTTGTCATTGGCTGTCAGACTCTCACACAATGTCATAATTTTTGTTTTGTTAGCTGTTAGTCTTCCAAAGTTGTTAAATAAATAAATAAAACAAACAAACCGTATGTTTATCCCGTGGCGCCGGTTCAGTCTGTTTGCTAGGTAGTCCGTCAACAAACTTCCACAGTCGCTTTCGTGCCTCCGGCGACATACGGCCGGAACCGGGACGGAGCGCCGCGCCGAACGCACTGTCCGGAGTTTGGGCGTTTTTTTCGACTGAAATAATAATATAATGTTTTCACGTCACAGAAAAAGGCGAGTGAGTGTGAATAATGTCGATGATCGTGAATATCTTGGGATAAGGGTAAGATGAAAACAATATCTAAGATTTTTATATAATAACTATCTTAATAATAACTATCGTGAGACATACTAAATCAACTAAAAATCGCGGGTGAATACATTGAGAAAAGCTCTATTAGTTTCGAACCACAGAGGGGTTCTTCCTCATGAGCAGCGTGCACAGTCGCGGCGATGTAGCGCAGCCTTTCGGAAACTAGTAGAGCTTCATTATAACATCACGCCTTCTGTCCCCGAAGGGGTAGGCAGAGGTGTTCATTATGTCACTGTACAATGTAACACCCACTTTTCCATGAGTCCCATGTAATGGGGGTGATCCTATTGCCATATACCGGTCGCATTTCCAGACCCCGTGCTACTACTGAGATTTTTTAAAAAAAATCTCTGTAATTCTTTGCCTGACCCGGGAATCGAACCCGAGTCCCCTTGCCCGGCTGTCGCACTTGCGACCACTCGGCCATCGAGGCAGTCTAGTCTAGTCAGTATAGTTTTTATTGTTGCAATAAGACTTACAAGGATCAGTAGGAGTCCGTATAGGGTCGGATGGCATCTCCCCCCTACGTACAGCTTGTAGCCGACGTCGAGTGGTGGGACTCAACGCGGCCAGGTTGGGAGTCGATAGCGCATCCTCTAAGGGAGGAGTCCTAACTCCGCATTCACCACCTAGAAGAGGAAAAACAATGTTTAGTGTTGAGTTCTATTCTGTTCAATAAGGACATAAAGACTAAGTGTCTACATAACATAACATAACATCACGCCTTATATCCCCGAAGGAGTAGGCAGAGGTGTACATTACGCCACTGTACAATGTAATACCCACTTTTCACTATTTATGTTCTGAGTCCCATGTAATAAGGGGTGAGCCTATTGCCATATACCGGGCACAATTTCAGACTCTGTGCTACAACTCGAAATTTATCAAAAATGGACACCCAAAACACCAGAGGGGTTACAAGTGTATCGTCATCGCCTTATGAGGGTTAATTGGAGGATGGGGATTAGGGGATTTAGTGGTGGGGAGGGTTTGGCCTCTTGTTAACCTCACTGTGTATCTACAATGATTTACACATCTGCTTACCCATTAACATAATAATAATATCTCAGATACCTTGTCTAGCATCATCTTTGAGGTCAGCCACTCGTTTGGGCGTCTCCTGCGAGTCACATCCAAGCAGGCCCTGTCGAGCCATCGCTATGTAACGCGACGCTGGGGACATCTCGTCCCCATCTAGAAATAATATAGAAAATATATTTATTAACTGATGGATTTTTTATAACGCATGGAGGGCAATTTATAAAGGGAAAAGTTAAGAAAAAGTTAGTCCTGTAAAGAGGTAGATTAAAGACCGGCAAAAATGACGCAATCCAAAGGGGCCTTTTTTTTGAAGGGGGATTATCATCCAATGACTTCTCCCGCCTGGGTGAGGCGGGGGGAGTGTCAGACTCTTACTGACTAAAAACCACCCCCACTCCTGCACGTCGAGCCCCGGCAACCCGTTAAGTCTTCCGCGGCTCCGTATCGACATCAGCCCTATTGGGCCCCCCATCTGTGGTGGTCTGAATCTACATTTTGGAATGATCATCTGCTTCACTGACGGACAGACTGACAGATTATTATTTATTTTGTATTTGTTGACGTTTTAAAAGTACCGAATTATGGTTTAATCGAAATAAATGGTTTGACTTTGACTTTGAAGAAACACAGAATTGGGTGGATAACTGGAACAAAGAATGGTACTCCTTTGCCTCCCAGAGTCATAGACAAGGACATTTTGCAGTTTTCATAAAGTTTAGTGGTAAAATAATAACTTAATTCACAAATAACTCACCCTTTCTATTAGGGGTCTGGTCCCTACTTGGAATAGAACCCCGTCGCGGTATGGCGGGGGCTAAAGGTGGTAACATAGCGTTCTCCTTGTCTGTTACCGTCACTTGTACTTCCATTTGTTCAGGCTCTGGGACCGGCTCGGGTTCTAATGGTTGTTGTTCTTCTTCTACTACTTCTGGTTGGGGCGAAGGTGGCGCTGGAACATTTATAATAGAATAGCATAAGACTTAACATCATTGCTGATAATAGAATAGCATAAGACTTAGCATCATTTCTGACCAAAGGCCTATTCTTACATGGAGAATCATGAATAAAACATATAATTACCCGTATATCCCCAAGCGGTCACCGGCTACCGCTCTCCACTAACTACATTATAGACCTTATTTCCAATGTTTAGAGACTTGTATGAACAAATTTAGGGGATGATTTTCAACAATTTTCAACGGGTTAAAGAAATTAAACAAATTTCTATTTGGTCAATTGATTAGAAACTCAACTGCCAGTGTGATGTTTAAGTATGATTTACTAGATCACAGAATATGATACAATATGAGCTGAAAGAGGTCCATGCTGAACAAAGGCCTCACGCAAAGTATTTGATCATAAGCTAAAACAAAAGAATCTTCGACAAAAGGTAATTTTTGATATCCAAATCACCAAAGACTCAAATGGTCTCACGTAAAAACGTAAGGATAAATCCTGAAGCAATGTCGAAATCAAAATACAATACATATTCAATTCTGTACAAAAACCAATTCGAAAATTAACTAACCTTTAGTATCTCCGACAAGATACTCCCTCTCACTGACCCTCGTCCCCTCCCTGGCACAGTCCAATAGCCACTCTCCCCTCACTGCCGGCAGTCCCCACTTCAATGCCCCCAAGTATTTGTCCCCGGTGGGGGTCGGACATATTAGATGAGTGGATGCTAGCGCGTTGGCTGTGTTGCGGCGGCAGAAACGGAGTTGTGTGCTGTCAGGGACAAAATTGAGGAGTAAGTAATCAATAGTGGTAATGGATAGATTTTGATATGTGTTTAAAAAAAAAATTGTAATTTGGATTTTTTTTTTA